CGCCCCGGGGCTGGGCTCAGCTTGACTGGGGGGTCCACTGCACCTCCCGGGATGGAGGGACCCTGGCTGAGCCCTGGGAGCATCCCCAGCCCCCCTTGCTGACCCCCTCCTGCCTCTCCCCCCTCCCAGGTTCCACACCATGTCCATCATGATCGCCGTGGACATCCTGGGCTGCACGGGCAGCACGGAGGAGCGGGCAGCCCTGCTCCACAAAACCATCCAGCTGGCTGCAGAGCTGAAGAGCACCATGGGGAACATGTTCAGTTTTGCTGCGGTGATGAATGCCCTGGAAATGACACAGGTACAGGGACACTCCCTCCACCCTCTTGGCCTGGGCTTAGACCCCTCTTGCCCAAAGCACATCCCTCTCCCTGTCCTGTGGGCTACAACACCCGTTGGGGTGGGAGAAGGGGCAAAATACCCAGGGTAGGAGGAGTGGGGCCACATCAGCTGGGGTGTAAGCAGGGAAGGGGAAGAGCTGTCCCCTCCACGGAGCAGACAGCCCAGTCCCGCTGGGATCCGATTGTTTTTTGGTGGTTGGGCTTTTTGTTTTGTGTTGGGCTGTGTTCCTGGGAGGAAATGAATCTGCCCTCCAGTACAATACAAATCAGTCCCAAGGCCCTGGCAGCAGCGTCTCTGGGCCACACTGCTCCCTTTGGAAGATGAAAGAAGATTAAAATTCAATTTTAAATCGATCCCAGCTGGGAAGTCTTGCTTCCTGCCTGCACAAAGGAGGAGGAACGGCAGCCCCCTCCCTGTGGCTCATCTTCAAGGCTGCTGCGATGCGGGGAAGCTGCTGTCCCGGGGCACAGGGAGGGGTTAGAAATCCTGGACCCAGCCTCAGTGCCAGGGATGTCTCTGGCAGTGGAGGAGGCAGCAGACACTGGTGTGTGCAAGGTCTGGGAAAGCCATTCGAGCCCGGAGCTCAATGCCCAGAGGCTGCACCCCCCACCCTCCCCACCTCCCTTCAGATCTCCCGGCTGGAGCAGACCTGGACGGTGCTGCGGCAGCGGCACACGGAGGGAGCCATCCTCTATGAGAAGAAGCTCAAGCCCTTCCTGAAGAGCCTGAACGAAGGGAAAGGTAAAGGCAGCAGCTCCCCTTCCCTCGCCTGCCTGCCCCTTCCCACTCGTCCCAGGCCCAGCCTCGCTGCAGGGACACTGAGAACTCTGTCCCCCTGCCCAGCCGTGTTCCCTCTGGCTGCCGCACCGCCCGGCGGAGCCTGTTTGGCCTCAGCTGCCCCTTCCTTCCCAAGGAAGCATTTCATAACTAAATAAAACCAGCAGCTGGGCACAAACACGGCTCGGCGGTGCCAAACCCTCGTGCTCGCGTGGCCGAGCGTGCCAGGCCGGGCGGACAGGAGGGGAGGATGAAAAGCCACACGGTTCCAGCGCCCGGGGCTCTGCAAACCCACACAGCCCCGGGCAGGATGGGGACAGCACCGCTCCCCTCCAGGCGATGGCAGAGCCAAGAAACCACTGGGAGCCTGTGCCAGGGGGTGGCAGGTGGGGAGGGGGAGGCAGGGGAGCCTCAGGGTGGCTCTCTCCGCAGAAGGGCCACCGCTCACCAACACCACCTTCCCCCACATCATGCCCCTTGTGACTCTGCTGGAGAGGGACGAGGCTCTCCCGGACAGCCCCGAGCCCTGGGAGAGCTCTGACAACGGCGTGGAGGTGGTCATGGCCCACCTGGAGGCAGCACGGATGGTCGCCCACCATGGCGGGCTCTACCACACCAACGCGGAGGTGAAGCTGCAGGGTGAGTGGTGGGGACAGCAGAGCCCCTTTCCTTCCTGCTGCATCCCCAGCGTGCTGCTCCAGGCCAACATCTCAGAGCCAGAGCATGCCAGGGCTACAGAGATGATGATAGGGAGTGGAACATCTCCCTGATGAGGAAAGGCTGAGGGAGCTGGGTCTGTTCAGCTTGGAGGAGACTGAGGGGCCACCTCATCCATGGGCACAAATCTGTTCAGGGCAGTGTCAGGAGGACGGAGCCAGGCTTTGTGCAGTGATGTCCAGTGACAGGACAAGGGGCAATGGGTGCAAACTGGAGCATAGGAGGTTCCATGTAAACATCAGAGAAAACTTCTTTGCTGTGAGAGTGCCAGAGCCCTGGGCCAGGCTGCCCAGAGAGGCTGTGGAGTCTCCTTCTCTGGAGACATTCCAACCCCCCTGGCCACGTTCCTGTGTGATGTGCTCTGGGTGCCCCTGCTCTGGCAGGGGGGTTGGGCTGGGGGAGCTTTCCAGGTCCCTTCCAACCCCTCAAGATCCTGTGATCTCACGGGTGCAGGGTCCCCATCCCACCCCCCAGGAACTGACTCTCCCTCTGGCAGGTTTCCAGGGCCGGGCGGAGCTGCTGGAGATCTTCAGCAGCTGCTGTGGGGCAGCCGCGGGGCCGAGAGCAGCCAGGCCGAGCGCTACCAGAAGTTTGACAAGGTCCTCACTGCCCTGTCCCACAAGCTGGAGCCAGCAGTGCGCTTCAGCGAGCTGTAACCCCCCCAGCTGCTGGGAGACCCCCCCCCAGCCTGTCCCACAGGCAGCTGTGGGGCAACAGATGGGGCTGGAGGCACCTGACACCAGGAGGAAGAGGTGGCCCAGAAAGACGCTGGGATACAGAAAAAGAAGAGGAAAAGAAGCCACATCCCATCCACCATTGGCCTCCCTGGGACAAGACAGGCCAGGGGGGCCAGGGCCAGTGTCTGGGCAGGCCAGCACCAGTCAGCATCATCCGGTCCCACCAAGGTGCACAACTCCATGGTGCTCCTCACCTTGCCCTTCAGTTTCATTTCTTTCCCACCTCTATCATGCCCACAGCTGCTGGATCCCACTTGTAAATACGTTTTCACAATCACTTCTCGATGTACAGACTCGTGAAGCTCTTGTTGTAAATAATGAGGCTCATTGGTTTCATCTTGTAAATACATGTACATATCTCATGAGTTTGGTTCTTACATACAATAAACTTTTACGCTGTTCCCTGGGGGGATCCCCTCTCCCAGGAGTGTCATTTAAACAAGGCCCTGCCCCTCCCGGGGGCAAGGCTGGTGAGGGGCACCCCCATGCTGAACCCAGCCCTGGCTGATGGATCTCCAGGCCACCTGGGGTCCCTGAAGCCCCCCATGTCCCAGCCCTGCTGGTCAGACCTCCAGAGGGTCCCAGGCCCCCCAGGCCCCAGCCCTGCCCAACCACAGACCTGCAGGGGAGCGCAGGGCCCCCCAGCCCCCC